AATCGACATATTAATTATTATATTGCTTGTGTTTGATCGGGTCCATTGAGACTGTAAAAGTTTAATTTACTTGAAGTGAGATATTGCGGTTTTGGAATACTTGACAGTGGAGCAATCAGCAATATATATGATGGAGAAAGAGGGAAATTATTCGGTATGCATACATATATTAAACAATTTAAAGTTCATTTTACTCTTATATACATGTTCTTCCATTTTGAACCTTACAATATTTTGCAGGGAAATATTCCTGGTCTGGATTACAATTCCCCTGATGTCCAAACTCACGATAATCAGCATCAAGACAAAGCGACTGCTGATTACATGCTGAATAATAATCCAACGGATGATATTCAGCCGCTATCGTCCAACTTTTATGGTTCAAACTCGTTCGACAAGTTGAGCTTTGCTGACGTGATGCAGTTTGCCGAATTCGGCCCTAAGCTTTCCTTAAACCAAACCAAAACCGGTACCTCCAATGAGGACGAGACAGGCATTTATAATAACAATATTGATCCCGTTTACTTCCTCAAGTTCCCGGTTTTGAATGACCGTCCACATAATCACGAATTGGCGCACGGTAATAACCGTGATCTGCCCTTAGGGGATAATAACCCTGAAACGGGCCCTAATGCGGTGGAAGCTAATAATAATAAGAGCAAGAGAAAGAGAGCGAGAAGCATAAAGACGAGCGAGGAAGTTGAGAGTCAGAGGATGACTCATATTGCCGTGGAGAGGAACCGAAGGAAGCAAATGAACGAGCATCTTCGCGTGTTGAGGTCTCTCATGCCGAGCTCCTATGTCCAAAGGGTAAACCAAATCGAATTATTAATTTGTAATGTTTCGCGCGTTAGTTAAAGTTGATACAGTATATTGCAATTCTAGTCTTGTATGTTTGACTATACTCTAACTCTTAATTTCGTCCTCTTCGAATTGTTATTTTTATTTTCGTCCCTTATGTTTACAAAAAGGTCCCTTTTGCAAAGAAATGTTACAATTTCGTTCTATATGTATGCTCGAGTACCTTTTTGCAAACATGGAAGACGAAAAAAAAATAAAATCAATTCGATCAGCGCAACGAAAAAGTTAAGGTCTGTAAAACATCCATGACTAAAACTGCAATTTACTCAAAGTTGATATATAGTACACATACATACATACATACATACATGCGTAGGGCGATCAAGCATCGATAATTGGTGGAGCAATTGAGTTTGTGAGGGAACTCGAACAACTCCTCCAATGCCTCGAGTCGCAAAAGAGACGGCGTCTATATGGAGACGGCGGTCAAAGAACGGTCAACGACCCATCATCTGTGCAGCAGCCTCAGCAGGTTCAACCTTCGTTAATGTTTCCTTCTCCACAAATAATGGGCAATGATTACGATTCGCAAGGGAAGAATAATAATAATATTAGTGATGATGTGGCGTACGAGACTGAGACAGCCGAGAGCAAGTCGTGCTTGGCTGATGTGGAGGTTAAGGTATTGGGTTTCGATGCTTTGATTAAGATTTTGTCGAGAAGAAGGCCGGGACAGCTTATTAAGACCATAGCTGCACTTGAGGATTTGCAGCTCACTATTCTTCACACCAACATTACTACCATTGAACAAACTGTTCTCTATTCCTTCAATGTCAAGGTATCAATATGTTAATTCTTACCAATTATTCTCAACT